TATTATTGTGATATTGTATCGCAGAGATTGTTTATTATTGTTATATTGTATCGCAGAGATTATTATTATTGTGATATTGTATCGCAGAGATTGTTTATTATTGTTATATTGTATCGCAGAGATTATTATTATTGTGATATTGTATCGCAGAGATTGTTTATTATTGTTATATTGTATCGCAGAGATTATTATTATTGTGATATTGTATCGCAGAGATTGTTTATTATTGTTATATTGTATCGCAGAGATTATTATTATTGTGATATTGTATCACAGAGATTATTATTGTGATATTGTATCGCAGAGATTATTATTATTGTGATATTGTATCACAGAGATTATTATTGTGATATTGTATCGCAGAGATTGTTTATTATTGTGATATTGTATCCCAGAGATTATTATTGTTATATTGTATCACAGAGATTGTTTATTATTCTTATTGCAAACAGTAAACAGGTGACATTGTATGAATACAGACAGACTCAGTTTGAGGTGTAAAAGGACAGTATTTATGTTTATTAGTAAAATCTATAAACAAATTATTTTCAAAATTCTTTATTTGGAATCTTTCAGATTGTAAATGTTAACAAAAATATATCAGAGAAAAGTCATGAAACCGAATAAAAGGTGACAATCCGTATTACAGTCACCTGAGGGGGTACAGGTGGTCTCTGTGGGTACATCTTGGATGGCAGCCAGGGACCCCACAGTGAAGTGATAACACATTGCCTTTTATTCAGTTATAAATACAGGACATAAAGCTGTATCAGAGTTCCATGATAAAGTTCCACTCTGCCAATAGCACTCCCTGAATTATTACCCATTTTATTATAGAATGTATCCCTTAAATCAGCTTTTCTCAGTACCCCCTGTATCCCCCTGTATGTGGATAAACCGTTTTATCTCTTTATGGCAAACATTGAGTTTGCCACCAATCTTGTTCCCCACATCTTTTTTTCAGTCGATTTTCTGATTTTTCCCTCTGCCAATTTTTCTCTCCAAGTTTCTTTGTTTCAGTGTCTTTTTAACCAACCCACACTGGTGCAGATGATGTCACACTAATGCAGATGATGTCACACTGATGCAGATGATGTCACACTGATGTAAATTATGTCACACTGATGTAAATGTTGTCATACTGTGCAGCGCATAGTTAGAAACCATGAATTGTCATAGGAAATAACTAATAATATGAATGGTAAGTAAAAAAAGTTAGATATAATAGTTGTGTTTTTCTTCACTGTTCTATCCCTGTTTCATGGCAGTTGACTCACTATACTAACAGATAACACAGAGAAGCAATGGGTGAATGATGGGCTGCAGTTTGTGGACTGAGGTTTCTATAATTCTCAGGAAGAGGCAGTGCTACATTTTAGACATTACTGCTATCATACCTCCCAAGTGTCCTGATTTAGGAGGGACAGTCCCCATTTTTGGACCCAAATCCATATTGGTGGTGTGTCTGAGTGTATAACAGAGCTCTGCAGCAATAATACTCCCAGTAATGTGTCTGAGTGTATAACAGAGCTCCACAGCAATAATACTCCCAGTAATGTGTCTGAGTGTATAACAGAGCTCCCCAGTAATAATACTCCCAGTAAAGTGTCTGAGTGTATAACAGAGCTCCATGGCAATAATACTCCAGGTAATGTGTCTGAGTGTATAACAGAGCTCTGCAGCAATAATACTCCCAGTAATGTGTCTGAGTGTATAACAGAGCTCCACAGCAATAATACTCCCAGTAATGTGTCTGAGTGTATAACAGAGCTCCACAGCAATAATACTCCCAGTAATGTGTCTGAGGGTATAACAGAGCTCCACGGCAATAATACTCCCAGTAATGTGTCTGAGGGTATAACAGAGCTCCACGGCAATAATACTCCCAGTAATGTGTCTGAGTGTATAACAGAGCTCCACAGCAATAATACTCCCAGTAATGTGTCTGAGTGTATAACAGAGCTCCACAGCAATAATACTCCCAGTAATGTGTCTGAGTGTATAACAGAGCTCCACAGCAATAATACTCCCAGTAATGTGTCTGAGTGTATAACAGAGCTCCACAGCAATAATACTCCCAGTAATGTGTCTGAGTGTATAACAGAGCTCCCACAGCAATAATACTCCCAGTAATGTGTCTGAGTGTATAACAGAGCTCCACAGCAATAATACTCCCAGTAATGTGTCTGAGTGTATAACAGAGCTCCACAGCAATAATACTCCCAGTAATGTGTCTGAGTGTATAACAGAGCTCCACAGCAATAATACTCCCAGTAATGTGTCTGAGTGTACAACAGAGCCCCACAGCAATAATACTCCCAGTAATGTGTCTGAGTGTATAACAGAGCTCCACAGCAATAATACTCCCAGTAATGTGTCTGAGTGTATAACAGAGCTCCACAGTAATAATACTTCCAGTAATGTGTCTGAGTGTATAACAGAGCTCCACAGCAATAATACTCCCAGTAATGTGTCTGAGTGTATAACAGAGCACCACAGCAATAATACTCCCAGTAATATGTCTGAGTGTATAACAGAGCTCCACAGCAATAATACTTCCAGTAATGTGTCTGAATGTATAACCGAGCTCCACCGCAGTAACACTCCCAGTAATGTGTCTTCAAACTACAATAAATGAGTTTAGAAATCAATGTGTAAATAAGATACATTGTTCTTGTTCTAAATTACATTAGCTAGTTGCATAATTTCTTCTAATTAAAAGGACACTCCGGGCACCAAAACAACATCATCTAAATGAAGTTGTTATGGTGCCAGGAGGACCTGGGCATGCCCTTTTACCTCAAGGGGTTAAAATGTTCACAAACACCTAAAATTAAAGCGTCCCACATTACCCATTTAAAATGTTGGGGCACATGCTGCCTCAGAGGGGCTACCCTTCAAGGTTGGACTATTTGCCTTGACCAATCTATCTACCAACCTCTGAACATCGCAACAACAATGCTCCTCTGTTCAATGACCACTAAAAACACTGGAGCCAATTTTTTCAAATGATTACAAAATGACATGTTTTGATTAAGACTTTAAGTGAGGCTATCCTATTCAAAAGACGAATATTTTTTACACAAAGCCTCCTCTTCTTCTAGCTTCATAATACCTGGCTGTTTGACAGCATAATTTAATTTAATGTGTTTAATAATTTCTGCTTTGACTAAGGAATAACGTAAACAATGTATCACAGTTATGAGACGGCATGGACATTAACTCATAACAAGTTATAAATTCACAATTAAACACGGGTCATAAAGCAGATAGAAACAGCAAGCACTAAATATTAACATTTTATTTTTAGCATCCATATTTAATGGGCTTCCCACGCAAGTTCCATTTTTAGTACCCGGCCCTATATGGGTGAACTGGCTCACTATTTAAAAATGTCAACAAAAACCCAAAAGCCGTATGTCTTCATATTTGCGTTATTTTGATATATCAAAATATGACATGACCAACGCAAGTCCAGGTCAGGTGTCTGTCCGTTCTCCAGGTGAACTTGATTTATGGACTTTTTTTCTGGGTAATTAATTAAACTCTCAATTTAAATATGAAAGGCAAAACAGAAGCTAATATTGCAATGCTATGGCCAAAGGATAGTTGGAGAATGTTTCCACCTGAGATATTGTTGCCAAAAGTATCCCTTTAAGATTTTAATTCCCTATAGTTCGAATTTTAGTAACCCTATTTGCGTCATGCCAGTTGATGAGAAATCTGTGCCAGGACAAACACAGATCTCTGTTGATATGTAATCACTGTGATGGCCTTGGGGATTACATGCTAAACACCAAAATTGTACTAAATTGAAAACCAGATTACAAAATCGTGGAAAAATTCCCTAACTCCGCATCACAACCACAGTTTTGGATCTTTGGCTCTATTTAACAAAGATCAAGTTAAAGGACCATTACCATTATGTCTCAATTAAGTGGTTATGGTACCTGTAGTCCATTAATGCCATGTTATCTTCATAGATTGTAAACCCGATTGACCAGAGCTTCTTCACCTCTTCTCTTTAACTTTTGTGTGTCAATTATTGGTCAAAAATCCAGGTTAACACTTTATAAAACGGTTGCAAGTAGAACATTCCCTCTAAAATCTTTCCTGCTTATTTTAATGTTCATTAAAGTGTTGAAGATTTTTTTAACTAACCTATACCTGATCTTTATCAAGGAAGCTTTGAAGGAGTAGGTTCCACTTTCCATAAAGTGTCAAAATATTTTTAAATTCCGTTTCACCATCCCACA